AATCGGTAAACTTTGAGTGCCAGAACAGTTTTTTTCCTTTATTATAATCTCTGCTAGTCATACAGAAATCTTTGTTAAATAAGAAGTTGTTTAACATGGCTTGATTCAAGGTTGACAACTTTTTTAAAAGCTCTGCCTTACAAGAGGCCATCAAGCTTCCTAGTACCAAACCTGCATGGATTTTACTCAAATAAAGAAAATCCAGAGGATTCCCAGACCGTGTCATCAGAGTGAGATGAAAAAAGTCTGAAGTTCTTATCTATATTGTGAAAAGAACTTCAGTATACAGATATCCAACCGACCAGAGATCTAAGTTGATAACTTCACATGATTCAGCTCAGCATCACGCACACTTTATCAGCTTGGGCCGAGATGTAGTGTAACGGCAATAACCCAGTGCTGTTATCAATCTGGCAAGTATTGCATTCACTAGCTTGAGTGAAGAGCCAGGTTAACACACCTGTACCACCCGCACTCTCAAGCTGGACTGTATTTTAGCTACTGAATTACCCCTAGAGGGGAGCAGACTTGCCCTGCACTTCCTAACTTAGCACAGAAAGAGACTACACACTGCCTTAAATGCCTTACCCTCTGCTCTGCTAAGAGTTTTGCATTTGCCATTCTACAGCCTGCCTTCCACTTGCAGCTCTGTGACCCTTCATGTAAGCCGCCTGGCCAGCGTTTTCCAGAGCTTCTCTAGCTGTATTTTTCCCTTGCTGTTCTCCCCATGCTGTTATTCTCAAGGCCCTTCACCTGCAAATACCAATACATTGACAGTACTGTACCTATACTGTACGGTAGCCCTTCTCCTATCCCTTGGCAGTAGCTTCTGGTGTACATCACAGAGCCTAATGACATTCATGCCCAAAGCTCAGTAAGCAGCCAGCGTTCAACACCTGCCCTGATGCAGCACTACCAGCACCACAGGCAGGAACAAGCAACAGGGAGCTTGAACAGGCCCTGATAAAAACCACAGAATTATTATAGGGAAGTGTTATGAAGAACAGTTGCTGTATGGGAAAGGACACCCAGAGGAGGATACTCATGTGGGAGACCTCACCACTTCCCTTCCAAGCTGACCACTGGGAAAACTTTCCCCTTTCACTTTTTTAGTTTTCACTTGTTTTCTTTCCTTTTTTCCATGAAAGTAACTTTCACCTTCAGTATCAATTTACACCATCAGCTGCAGACCTTGCAAATGGATCTCTGCTCACACCTGTTTCAACATCCTCTGTGCAACACACTGCCCGTATAAATATGCTCTACTGCATGTGAGAGTGTAGTTCTTCACATGCTTAAATCAACCTGAGCTGCCCTTAATTTCCAAATGCGCATTCCTGCCCCCTCTCCAGTGACAGCACAAATTCTTGTGTGACTAGGTGAGGAGGTGTTTAAGTACAGTTGTAAGTCTAGGAGTAACTTCTCCCTTTCTCTCCTCCCAGAATTGATTTGTTTCTGAGTGGCTCAACTCCCTATGTTGGAGCCAGAGAACTTGCAAGGGCACAAAGGCTGGAGACAAAGGATGAAGGAGGAATCACTGCCACCTCAGCATAAATCATCTTAGCCTGACATGGAAGCTAGACCTCAACTTTGCATACAAATAGCAGCTTTTAGACCACATTTCCATGAGTTACTGAAAAGGATCTTTTGTGCCACTTGAAACACTAGACTTAACTGGCCTAAAGATATGCTCTGGGATGAACTTAACACTTTATTTTTCCCCTCAAGCCATTCATCTTGTCAGAATCAAAGTTCCCTAACGCCATCTCCTAATCTTAGTCTGTATCTTCAACTATTTGAAAAGCACATTTTCTTAAACATAGATCAGTAAAGGGAATTTAGGCACAGTATAAAAGACAAAAACAGCTTCCAACTTATTTTGTATCTGTTTTAATAACAGATAATGATCTACAGTCAGAAACTGATGAAAATGAAAAATACTGATTACTGCACATTACCTACACTATTTTTCAAACCTTATTTTTAAACAGTCTATATAGTCTGCATTTACTTGGGAGTTCCAACAACACTTCTATTCTACTACCCAACTGCTAAAAATCAGAAAACGAATGCTAAACACAACATGGCAGTAGAAGATACTAAATGGAACACATCACACCATGGGAACGTAATACAGCACTACATACAGCATGCGCTTCATATGTGGGACTTCACTTGCTATTAAAACAGATGCAGAAACTGCCTCCGGACTGCCCTCCGGTGCGGGTGGGCGGGAGGTGCCCAGCAATCCTGACTGGCAGAGGAGCAAGATCCTGAGCATCACGGAGCCAGTGACCCACGCTGCAGGCAGCAGGGGCCTCAGCTCGTGGGACGGGGCTGTGCTGCACAAGTCCCGCGGCCGCAGGACAGACTTGCTGCAAGAGAGGGGCCCGTGGGCACCACCCCCTCGGCACCACCCGCATGGCCTTGACTTTATCTAACAACGCAGCAACAAGTTCTCCTGTAAGCATCTTTCCTGCTTTGACTACAGCAATGACAGAGTTGTCACCTTGTAAGACAATCCTGGTAAGCGTGTAAATGACTGAGAAGGGGAAAATCTCTGCTGCAGCTGAGGCCTGCGTGGCACGCTGCACATGGGTCACAGTCCTGTTTGATGCTACCCTGCTCTGGGCTCCCAGCATCTGAAGGGCTGCAAGATTATCTGTGCTATCCTTTTCTTATACCATCAGCTCTAATAAATAGCATTTTAAATGATACCTTACGGAGTCTAAGTGCCTTTCTTACTGGAATCGTAACAAACCAGCACCTCCCAATGCAAAACAAGGTGATGAACAATTATTTCCAACACAGGAGCAGCCCCAAAGCAGTACTAGATGGCATCATTCTTCTGTTTCCTCTTTACTCCGGTATTCATGTGTGAACGAGTATATGCACAAGGGGTACATATTTATGCAGATAGACAGGCGTATCTAGTTATTTACTACTTAGTTTCAGTTATTTATCAGTTTACTAGCCACATCAGTTTATCAGCCATCCTGTGTGGGCAACTGCACTCAAATAAGCACAATGAAGCAGGCAAGCACAGACCCTGGCTTTCTGTCCCACCCTGCCTGTTTGTTTTGTGATCAGAAAAATCGAATGCCCTTAGCTACCTAATGTGCCCAGAGAAATAAAATTCATGTACCATTTTACCCTAACACAGGAGCACAGTTCCCATGAAAGAAACTTCCCAAAGAAGCAAACTTAAAGATTGCACTAGATGCACTAATAATTTCCTATGAAAACAAAAAAAAAAAAACCTTAAAAGTTAGCACCTACTAAGTGTTTCAGGGTTCTGCTTCTACAAATATGTTTCATTAAGTTCAGATTTCAGAATTCCCCATCTTATGTTTTTTTACTAGCTTGCATTTTTTCCAGTCTAGCCATTTTATCTGCTAGTCAAACTAATCTCATTATAAAAGCAATTCAAATAAATGCAGGATTTCTAAATATTAGTAAAACTTATTTCAAGCACCATAGTTAGCTTTTTAAACCACGACATATGTAAGCAGAGGCTCAGGTCAGCAGTGACTAGAAATATAACACAAGTAATACAATAGTCAGTCACTGTTCTGTAGAGTAATGAAAGAGTTTCCTTCCAGGTTATTTTCCTTTGTTTGGCTTTTAGAGTTCTAGGCACTGTTGCTACTAAAAAAAAAAAAAAAAAAAAATCAGAATGACTTTAGGGTTTTAACATTTCATCATGATTTAAAATCTAGGAAAATTTGAAATAAGATTAACTAAAATACTTTCCTTAGACAATCCTGAAATGCTGCATTTTATTTTCAAACTCCTTAATTTTTAAACACTGCTGCAAATTCCATTTCTAATAAAAGAGTAATGTTGAACAAAAGCACTTTTCAAGAGTTCATAACCTCATTCTTCTTGATAATTATGAGATGCATAAAAATTAATAGGAAATCCATTAAGCAAACTTTAATAAGAAAGGCAACATTTTTCACTGATAAAACATGCTATTAGAAATTCCTGACTTGTTTGGTTTTGTTTTTTTTCTTATTTTACAGATTACACTTGGTATCGCTTTTGGAGCTCCAAAAGGCCTGATCTAATATAGTTCCTCTGTGGAAAAATAAGGAAAAATGGGGGGGGGCAGAACCTATCTCAGAGAAAAAGAAAGAAGTTCTTGAGACTGCAAATTAGTACATATTAATTAAGTTTCCCTCAGACTGTTATATTGGATACAAATTATATTTCATTCAGGATGAGCTAGACCAATTTTTCTATCTGTACTAAAATTTTATGAATACCAAAGATGAAGATGCTTCAAAGATTTAGAACATACTGAAGAATTAAATATTTGCAAAAAAACTGCTCCACCCACTTAAATTTTCAAATTATTTAATCTTTAAGAATCTGATAATTTAAAAACAAAATTTTGAATTCCACCTTCTCAATAATCAACCCAATTCGCTACAACGACAGCATTGATGGAGGGCTCTGAATAAAGGTTTCTAAACTGTGAAATAAAGGATTTTTTTCTAACCAAACATTGAGGATTAAGGAACTGAAGTAGTTGACCAGGCAGAATGGTTGAAAAAATAGAAACCTAAGAACAGTTTCAGGCCTATTTTAAAAACGCAGCTCTCCTAATTTTATATGCAATTTCTAAGAAAATAATGTTTCGTTTTTAATGACACAGATTCTAATCACATGACACAACAGCAAGGAAAACCAAAACCTCTCTCTGAAGTTACTGCTCTGCCTCCTCACTGCCATGGCTGTAGACTGCAACTCCAGTATTCACATTAAAAAAAATAGAAACAGTTGGTTTACATGTCGTTATTCCTTGTGACATGCTTAGGGCACCTGTCTTCTTTTAGAAAGAGATTACGCGTGTTTCTAAATAAGGCTGCAGACACCCTCCTAAATAAAAATCTTAGTTTTATCTTCCTCTTAAATAACCTAGGAAGCTCATAAAGATTTAGAACACATTGATAAGCAAAAGATAAAAAGTGTCAAATAATAGAAAAAATACAAACCTCTGATTGTACATGCCCCGGAAATTATAATTTGCTCTGTAATTGGGAATTGGCTTTGGATCTAATGGCCTGTAGATGGCAGGCTCTCCTCTTTTCATAGCCAGACCATTCAGCTCCACTGTTGGAGTTATACTGCCTGCAAAAAACAAAGAATACATGTCAGGCGCTCAAACCACAAATACTGCAAAACACACAAGCAGGACAGAGGTGAGCAGCAAAGAGAGAGCTGCATGATATTTTTTTTGCTCTTAATTTAAAAAAGAATCAACTACAATGACAATTCAGTTTCTCTAAAAAGACCAGGACATAGATGCCATCTTAATCACACGCAATGAAAAGAACATTTAAACATTTATCTCAGTGCATTCTCTATGCAGTTTCAGTAGATTAACCTTCACATATGGATGAGAAAGTCAACGCTATAATCGAGCTAGTTGTTCATCTTTCCAAAATGCTTATAACACATTATGACACTTTTTGAAAAAAATAAAGGTAAAAGAATAATGTCTCTTCCCACTGAATACCATTAAATAAAACCACAACTAGAGCAAAGAGACATTGAAACAAGCAAGCAGTAATAGCCATTACTGCAGTCATCTGGTAATCTCACAACAAGTAAGAAAAAACGTTTTATTTACAAAACTTGAAAACTTAAGACTATGACTAAAAACTAATGACCTAACAAATTGAAAATATAACAAGTGGAAATCAGTGTCACTACAGCCATCTACTGGTGACATAATACAAAAATAGGAAGCAACCAGAACTTGCCCATTTGCATGGTCTCCAAAATGACAAATAAAAAGCTACACTGTGACTTTGTTTTTGGGTTTTGTTTGTTTTTGGTTTTGTTTTTTTTTTTAATAAAATGATCAGCTACAGTTTTCTCCACTTGCGCTGCTGTAAGAAAACCCTAAATGAGCTAAATGTACATTCCAATAAAAAAGAGTTAGTATTTTCTCAAAAAACTTTCATAAGAGATTCAAATGAATCTAGCCTTAAAACAGCTATAATGAATTTGCCTGTCTGACACTGAGGCTTTATATGCCAGATGATGAAAATTTTTATACAATACTTATTCAAGAACTTCTATCAACAACAATTTTTATATTTTTCAGAGTAAGGAATGACTATGAATTCAGCTGTGTAATAAAAATGCAAAATGTCATTTTGATTAGAAGATACCTGTGCACATACAATACACCTTTCTTAGAGCAAAATTACAGTGTTAAGTGATACAATTTCTGAATGAATTCTCTTAAAGTCTATTTCTTTTGTTAGCAGCTTTAAGAATATGCTCAAAACCAAAAAATCCTAGAAGCTGAGTAATACTCTGCAACGTCAAGAATCAAAGCCAGGATCCCTTTTTATAGAGGTCTGAGCCTCCTGCTTTCTAAACAAAGTTACAGTGACTGTGAAGGACAGGGGACAAAACCAGTGTCCTGGGTCTGGAGATGCAATGCACTGATGTCCAGAGGAGCAAGAGAAAACTATTATACCACCCTCAAACAATTCTTAATGGCTAATGCTCAGGATAATACTCATAACCTCTAAAGGAAACTCACTCATGCCTTTTTCCCAACATATAGAAGATTAACTGTAAAATCACTCCATTTTAAGGAAGTGACTGAAGATGACTTTTTTTTCAAAGAGGGGGAAGGGCAGAGGGAAATAAAAGGGGGAAAAGGGGAAAAAGGGGGTAAAAAGGAGTTTAATAAAGAAAAAAGAGGGAAAATACTTTTTTTCCTCACCCTTTGCTTTCTTTTGTATTAGTTTGAATACAGTTAGGAATACTTTTTTTGTTTATTTTCTTGAACAAGACAGAACAGATCACTGAGCACATGGCTGAGATGTGTACCTCAAAAGGTACGGCAAGCAGAGAAGGCAATTCACGGGTAACACCTCAAAATGAAGGATGAAAGACATCAATATATATTCTTTCTATTACTCAAACAACAGTTTCTAAAGCCATCTAAAAGCTTTTCAAAAGCACAGGTTGCTATGAAGGAAGACTCACAATGCAGGAGATTACCTGTCAAAGTTTTCATGCCAAATCCTGACCTTTTACTTACACCACAGATGCAATTTCACAGGACTGGACAAAATTTCCAATTTCATTGGAAAACTAGCTAAAATAACTCTGTGAAAAATGTTTTACTATGGTAATAATGGTCAGTTCAATCTGGTTTTGTCCTGTCTGTTTACTACTGATCACATACAATCACTTTCCATAGATCTGATCCGTATCTAAATAATTTATTCACTTACAGTTCAACCATTTTAGGTATGTGCATTAAAAATTCTCCTGGGCAAATTCACTAGAGGTTCTTTATTATAATATCATACCTATAAGACAGCTATGTTGATTCTCATCCTCCAACTTAACTTGCATCTTGTTAAATTTATTTATTAGTGGTATAATATTCCAACACTTCAACAACATATAACACAGAGGAAAATGTCATACCTGGATTATTGTTAACATTATTTTTGGGTGGTCTTGGCGTTGGTTTAGGTAGGGTAGTTTCATTCAATGCTTTGCTAGCAGCAGCATGTTGGGCCTTTTTAATACTGCTTCCTTCAGCTTCCCATGTCTGTTCTCCAAGAGTCAGCTGCACTGTGAACATCTTCAAAGACAAAGAACAGGTAAACACTGGCAAGATTCTCACTATGGATTAGACCAATCTGTATAAAAACTTCCAGGGTTGAAGAGAAACCATGCTCTCTTTTCATTATATTTAACTTCCCAATAACACATCTGATTCTTACAGAGATCAGTGAGTCTGTATCAGTGGGCAACATCTGGCCTTTCAAATGACAAAGTAAAATAACATAATGTTAATGTCAACTATCAAAGAACAGAATAATATTTAAACCAAGTAATAATATCTGCAAACTGATTCTCTGCTCTTGGAAGACTATATACAGGTCCGTTAAGACCACACTTCTTCACACATTTGAACATGTTTAGTCACTTTACCTGTAGAAAGCAGGTAAAGAATGCTACTAAAAAAAAAAAAGTAATTTTGTAATAATTCTGAATGGATATAAATGACTGCATACTCTTCAAGGCAGTGGAGAATTTGGCCCAAATAGTTTTATCCACTGAAAGAATTTCTCACGCAACCTGATTTCTGAAAATAATGTGTATTGTTAGGGCAGAGTCATGACTTAAATATGTTCAAAAATATAAAGAAGTATTATCTTTTTGAGTGAAACTGCAGTTCTTTAATGTGGACTATCGTGAAGACAGGCACGATAAAAATTCAGAGTTCAGAAACGGACAACTGATAAAACCCATATATATTTCAAAACCTATTATAGAGGATTATTTCAAGCAGTATCTGTGCTGTGCAAGTTGTGAAGATAAAACTCAATGCATATTTAAGATATTAGATAGAGTCTATCTTCTGTATGATATGTGCATGTTCTGTTTAAATTTGAGCATCTAAGAACAAGAGGAGAAAGGGTAAGAACTCAATGTCTTTTTCATATCAATTCCATACATATAAGGCAGGATTTAATAGTCAAATACACACAGTAAACTCAGATATACCTACCTCAAAGAACAGACTAACTTACTGGAGGCAACACAAAGAAATCTACGTATTAGTGTGAGCAGTATATAAAGTAAAATTTTCATTTTGATAGTTTTTTGCTCTAAAATTTGTAAAATTATTTAAACTTGCTATATCCAGGACCAGGTATCTAGAGATAGGCATGATGGGCAACGTTTAAATTCGCCTTTACATATATTTTCATTTAGCATGTACTTGCAAACAAGCATTTGAACACAAGTATGTATGTTCCTCGCAACTCCGCCCTATAGACATGCACACAGTGCGTATGAACTGAATGCTATAAATACATACTTGGGTCTTAATTACAGGCTTGAGTTTTGGCCTACTGTGATTTTCAGAAGCACACTACAAGTCCCTGTATCAGTTCTTATCACCATGTTGTTTTTTCCACAGCAGTCATGAAAATTTCCTCACAGACAAAGGGGAAGAGAGAAATGGTCTCTTAATTTTGCACTCTGTCAAACTCTACCCCTACCTGAAAGCTAAACTGGGTATTGGACCTAAATACCCATAATTATATAAAATATCTATAAACACACATCTTATTACTAAAAGAACTGAAACTTAATTTGTGGATCTGGAGTTTATATATTTTATATTTTGCAAGTATCAGTGTAGCATTTTCATAGGAGGAGAATAATCTTGAATTTCAATAAAAATATGATGAATAATGGCTGCTTATCTACCTATAACTATCCTCTTAGTGCTTAGAGCAAGAAACAGGAATTAAAGATAATAAAGGGCTTGCTCAGTAAATTTCTATAGCCAGAACTCTAGCCTTCTCACTTGGACCATCTGACAAAAAAAATACTGAAAAAAAACACACACAGTAGTAGGAAGGAATTCAATTAAAGGAATAAAACTGCCTACAACCAGTATCTGGAGCAGCCAATGAAGTACTCGAGCTCTGCAAGGCCAGAGCTGACAGTTCTGCTATGGATTGAGAGGCGTTTCTCACCAATTTTCTGAGGAAGTTTGTATTCCTTGCATCCAACCTAATTTACCTGATGGCTACAGAGCAGAAATGCAAAGGCCACCACACTTTGTGATTGTCTTCACTTCACTGTGTTTGTAAGATCAGTCTCCCTTAGCTCTGGCAATTCTTTTCTCCTTGCTTTTTCTGCATGTAGAACTTTCTCTCCTCCTTTCTGGCCTTTTGAAGTGCTACATCCCTCACACCCCTTTTCCCTCTTGTCCGTACCACCATCTATTTTTTTTTTGTCACTTTTTCTCTTAAATTTGTTTCCTGAGATGTCATTGACAGCACAGAAGAAATTATCAGTTTGACTAATGTATTCAAAAATGCCATTTACGCTAACAAATACTTTCTGATTTTTCATGTGATGAAGAATCCACCTGGAGCGCAAACTCCTAGAAACCCTAACTGCACTGTCAGGAAGCACCACTTCTCTGCCAGCTCCACTGTCTGTAGTTTCCCATTTCACCACAATTGTCACAATTTACTTTCCAGAGACAACTAGAAAAAAGGATATAAACATTTACTAGCATTTGTGGTCATGACACAGACAGCTGTCTTGTATAGCATGTCTCTGAAAATTGTGAAAACCACTAGTGGACAGGAACAGAGTATGTGTAGGAAAAAAGCAACGTGAGATACTCCTTAAATGGCAAACAGCAGCAGCATTACATCCTTCAGGTCATGCCTTCTAGGACAAACTCAGCTCTGTTTCACATATTCTACCAAGTATATCATCATATTACTCGTCAGATATTATACTAAACTGCTAACAGAGTCATAATCTCTATGTCTCTGTTTTTCATAGGTCAAAGGTACACAAGTCTGAATAACCTTATTAATATCACCCTTGCTCTTCATCCCCTTCCCTCCTTTGTTTTTCTCATTTGCTGCATAGGTCAAAATCAGACTTAATATTCTCCCGAGTGTACAGCACACATATATTTTTTCTGACCACTATAAGTGTAATTAAAAATAAGATGTAAAGTGAAAAACTGAAAAATTAAGAAATCTATTGAAAATCGGGCTTTCAAAAGTGCAGGTAGGGCAGACTCAAGTCATTTCAATATTAGTTCCTTTAAAATTAATAACAAATATATGTGAACTATTTCTTACCCTGCTAAAATTTAAAGAATATTATGAATGTAATGTAGCTTAAATCTCTTTACTGCTGAGGAATACGAACAGCCAAAACCACACCTTTTGGTAGAACCAAAGCACTTCTTATTTCACAAGAATGGAAAAAAGGTAACAAAATAAATATACAACACAACAGTGAAAAGTTACAGGAAGTGCAACAGATTTAACATGCCACAAAGCTAAAACCAACCAGTGTATCCTGTGGTGCCAAACACTTCCAGGAAGGAGAAAAGCCCTTCAATTCCCATTCACAACGAGGGACCCTAAAAAAGCTTGCTGATTCTCATCAGCCCTGCACCTGCTGACATCATTTCCACCAGCACAACGGCTACATGAACACCAGCCAAACCAGAAGGCCAGTGACTTGCATCAACTCTGTGCTAGCTGACAAGATAACCTGCAACGGAGAAACAAAGGGCAGCAGCAAAGAGACAGCCCACAACTCGCTGAAGCTGTTACTAATCTGCAGCGTGACCCCACTGTCTTACGCTGTTTTGTCACTCTAGAAATACTGAGTACAAAGCAGCTATTAATTATGCCATTGTCTCTCTGTGAGTTTTTCAGGCTTTTCTCTCCTCCCCGAGATTGCTCCTAAGTAGGGAGAAAGTTCAAAATTCTGTCTGGAAATTATTATCATGAGGATATCCCTCTGTGTTCCCCATTATCCAAAAGCATCCTAATTTGCACTTTTGAAGTTGGATATCCAAATTAAGATGAGAACTGACCAGAATTAACTGTTAGTTCATCAGAAACTTCAATGTTATAATCGTATTAGAAGTCTTAATATCAATGTAAATCTTAAAGTTGCACAGGATTTAAAGGAAAAAAAAAAGTAATAAAGTTTGTGCCCTATAATGCAAGCTCCAGAGATACAGTATCAATGCAATCAGCCTTATGAACGCAGAATCATATCAATAAGCACTTTTAAAAATGACACAAACTCACTGTAGTGCAGATGACGACAAAGCTAAACAAATGCGGAGGTAGTTATCAGAGGCACACTGACTGGGGAGAAGGATTCATGCAGCTTAAAAAGCAAATGCTCCATAAAGATTAAGAAAAGACCTTCACAAGGTCTTTATAGAGACCAGCAAATACAAATTCAAAGGTGGAAGTCAAAGTAAGACACAAAACAATCAGGGCTTCAACAAAATAGACATACTTTCTGCATTAAAAAGGAAGAAAAAAAAAAAAAGGCAAAATAAAGAACAGTAAGAAACCCCTTACACTAGAAATGTGGCTGTGTTTGACAAGCACGCTCGTCCAGACCATAACATTATCTGTTCAGCATTTAAGGTACGGCTCATCACCTGGAACTGTGACCTTACCTTGGCATGAGCAGGCCCTCTTTCATTCAGAAGCTTATACTGGGGTTGAATTCTATTGAAACGGGCTAACTCATTTACCAGACACATTGGAGTTTTCTCTTTGGGGTTTGCCATGTTATCTTGGAGAGGAGCTGTAAATAAAGAGTCTGTAAAGTTTTTGTGGAGAAATGTATTCTTCACAACTTCGCAAAGCTTTGCAAAAGCAGCAGCATGCTTAGAAAAGAAAAATACTTTGGCTAAAAAGTAATTTTTTTCACATATGCTAAACACAGTGTTTAAATACCATTTACATATTAATCACATGAGAATATGCACTTTACAATAACCATTTTGATTACATGCAGTTTTAAAAAGTACAATGATTTCTTTCCAGAATGTCTCTATAAAAGATGACAGTGTAGGAGGACATGTACATATGTTACATTTTCTACAACACCAAAGTTTACTGTCAGGAGTATACTGGTTCGAGGAACTGACTACTCTTTCAGAATGGTTTCTTGACACTTTTGAAACAGAAGTGGATAGTATAAGAGTTGCAAAATAAATACAGCAGATGAAACCCTGTGGTCCCCACTTGCTTCCCTCTGCTTCTTCAGTGTCTTAGGCTTTTCTCAGGATAATGAAGGCGCTCTCAGATAACTCCCAAAGAACACCTTTCCTCCCCTTTAAGGATTTTGTTCTGTCTTTCTTAGATTACTTACTTCATGCATACTACTGCCTTACTATTTTTTAACTTTCTGCTATTTCATTTTCAACTTACTTGTATTTATCCCTAACATACATGGTCATTTCTTGCTTAATTTTTTAGGATAACATTTCTGTATTTTATAATCAGTTCAGCATAGGAACTACAGCATTTACTAGGCTACAAAGGAAACACCGAATACTGCCAAGCAGTCTGAAGACATTCTGTTCTAGGGAAGAGAAATACACTTGGAGACCTTCCTGCACCACTAGAACTTCCCTATAAAAGATACACTCACAATTTGACAAAATAGACATGTTCTTTTCTGAGCTTTTATATCATTGATCAACACTTCACTGTAAGTCTCAACTCAGTTAAAGAAACTTAACAGTAAACAGTCTATTTAGCCAAAATATTTTCCTATGGGATTTTTTTTCTTTATTTTAATCCTCTTTAAGGCCTGTCTTATTATTTATTTATTTATTTAAGTGGACAAGTCAGCAAAAAGATTCCTTTGAACATCACAGAAAATATACCTGGACCAACTTACCTGGTGAGTTGCTAGAAGGCGCAGGATCCACGAGGCCGGCAGTAGGACTGCTACAGCTGGCAGCTGATTCCGAAATGGATCCGTTCATTGAGGATGGCAGACCCAGTGTATTTGTAGTTGTAACTGGTAGGGGTAGCACCATAGGGGACATGGCAGGTCCGGACAGGTTTGCTGTAGTCTGCATCTTAACTTGTGCCATTGCCTATCACTGCAAGAAATAAATTATTATGATCAGGGCACTTTGCATTTTGAATGTCAAATGATGGTAGTGATATTAACAACACTTCTTTTTTGCTCCTGGATGCGGGACACAAAACTATCCACAGAAGTCATGCCTCTGCACACATTACTTCCAAACTGGTGCACACAGAACTCACAGAAAAAGAAAATCACCGGAGCAGAACACACACATTTTGACTCCGGGTTCTGTTGCTCAACTGTGGGGTGACCCTGACTGAAAGACAGCAGGAAGAATTACTCTTCTAGAATAAAACTCCATATAATCATTCTGCGGATGAGATTAGCACCTGCCAATTTCTTCAAGAGAGGATATTTTTGCAACAAACTGCCAATAGCAATCTTTTGCCATAGTTTTTCCAGTAAAGTGCACACAAAATACCAAATAAGGCCACAAGAGAAAATCCCTATTTTTGCTGCTTGTTACCAAAATAGAAAAGAGAAAAAATAAGAGAACAACTGACAAAAAAAAAAAAAAAAAAACCACCAAAGAAGCAAGTTCTGAAAAATCAGTGCTCATCCAGTCAACAGGTGAAGCACTTCAATCCTTCTGTAAATTACTAGCACAGGTACCGGGATTTCCTAGACCAGCTTTTAATCCAGTGCCTAAAGCATTTGCCTGGAATATGCCAGTCACTAATTGCTTCTCTCCATCTGCCCAAATGAGTTTCTTTATTACTACTACCTGTTACCTGGCTAAGTCTACACTCATCAGCAAGCCAGGGTCAGGGTACAGCTCTACACACTGGGAGTACAGTCCCTGGCAAAATTTTAGCTACTGACAAAAAACTCTTGCAAAAACCACGAGAGCCATTCAGAGGCCAGCAGGCACCCCAGGCAATCCACTCAGATAAGCGAGGAGGCAGTCATTCTCAGTCCTCCAGGGAAGAATCATGGGCTTCCTTTTGGCATCAGGAAGAAACAGGATAATGTATTTTATTCAGTAGCATGGACATAGACTTTATTTTTTCAGGGTTCATACACATGATACGATCTGTACCGAGCAGATAGGGATGCAAAACCCGTAACAGCCAACAAACAGCCTGGGGACCTGGGACCTCTCCTGGCAGCAGCTCTGGTCTCTCTGGCGAAGGCAGAGGAGGACAGGAGCCCAGCCCTCCTACGTCATGGGCAGCACCCTCACCACTAACCTCTCTGCTGCTTCTGCTGGGGTAATTGTCTCTTCCTAAGCAAAAAGCCCAACCAACACCTGAAAAACTTTCTAACTAAGGTCTTATTGAAATGAGTACGGCTATTTAAAACTTTCTGATTACATCAGCATTTCTGTGTCTTCCCCTTCCCCCCAAAAAAGTCAGTTAAAAAATACTCCAGTATCTCTACTCAGAGGGACAGCATTGTTGGATTAAGATCCCAAATCACTCAATACATTCCAGTGTGCAACTATTTTAGCACAGTTGCACTAGTATAATGAAAATAATAAATCCTATTACTGTGCTCTATGCTTTGGAGAAGAGGTTCAGACTGGAATGCCATTTTTATTACTGAGGAAAGACAGATGACTGATGTAAATCTCTGGAAAGGCAAAATTAAAAAAAAGAAATTAAAATTAAGCTGAGATTAAATCACTTGCCCTTCTCATAAATAAAATGCTAATAGTGACAGTTTAAAAAAAAAAAAACATATACAGTCAGCTGGGCTATATTCGAATACTTCATGTGTTCAAAAATAAGGACTAAATTTGGACTGCAATAATCCTACCATCACTTAACAGCAAATGTCATACAATACAGCAGCAGTGTTAGAAGGGCCTAACTCAGAGACTGAGAATGTGTATAACTATAAATTACATGTTTAATTCTGATTTTAAATATTTTAGTATAGATCAGAATGAATTTTAAAAGTTTCTTAATTGTAAACATCAAAGCCAATGATGGCAGAATCAGGCCATAATCATTAAACATCTTTTGAATGAAGGCAACATAATATAAAATACCACCACAATAATTCAAGTTTAAGAAACTCCTTAGAGTATTTACAGCATTTTATCTTATGAGTCTGAGAAAGCCATCACTCATATAGTATGGTATGACATACTACTGAACACCTATTCTCAGGCCCTACCAGTTGTTAATTATCCTTTCAGCTCGGTATTCTGAAAGTCTACTTTTCTTTTCAAGAAAGCAGAACTTACTAATAACCAAATAAAATAACATGTTCTAGAGTATTGCTGATTTAAAGGGAGAAATTGTAAGATTGATCCTTTTCTATTAAAGATAAAAAAAAACAAAATCAGTTTGATATTAGTATCAAGCAACTGTAAAAATGAAGAAGATAAAGGGCACTCTTTGTTCTACAGTAAAGTACATAGGAAATTAGATTGTGAAATCGGAATAAAATCATAACATATTAGGTGCTGTGATTTTCTTACCTATCTGAAGCTGCAGAACTCCTATAAAAAACTGTAACTATTTTGTAAATTGATCTGTATATACAAAAATGCCCAAGAGGTAAATATAATTGTAGGGACTAACTCTTAAGTACATGAGACATGGAGATAATAAATCTGTAATCAGTTCTAAAAATCCACCAGTAGAGAGAGACAACAGAGAGAATATAGTTGATATAGGGCTGTTGTGCCATTTATACAGTACCTAAAAGGATACCTAAATGGTAGTACACATTACCCTAAAAGGGGAAAAAACCTATAGGCTCAATCCTTTCTTTCTATTTTTCACATATATACCAGTGTTGCACTACTTTATAAACAGTGAAGTAAAAGCATTTTGGGGCCTTCTAGCCACAAGCACAAACCGGTTTGCTACTACACAACCAAATGTAGGACTTGGGGGAAAGAGATTTCACTAAGCTGGTCAGAGACAAAATGCAGTTACATAATCAAAATATTTTTAAATCTTCTACGTGGATATTTTTGAAAAAATATGGCGCACACAGAGGGGATAATTTACTTAGGATATTATGAATATGATTAGAAAAGCCCCCGCACCCCATTTCAGGTGGGTAACCCAACTCACGCCTAGGGAACCGCTACAGCCGAGCGTCTCCAGAGGAGTTTCCTCTGACCCTAGGCAGCGGTTACGGACGCTCGGGACTCTCTGAAAAAGCTGGACTGCACAGCTGTGACCGCCAACTTTGTGTCTTTATTGAGCCGCCAGCTGCCACGCCGAGGCACCACAGCAGTGGCATTTCTTGCACTCTCAATCATTGCACTCTCACATGTCTACCCAGTCAAAGGCTGCAAGTCGCAGTGCTGCCATTTTTGTAAAGTTACATTCCAGAGCTTATGGTGCTTCCTGAAATGCTGCAGTGGTTTTTTTCCTCTCTTACTCTAACCTGCACAGCTGTACCAGAAATGCTACACCAGTCATTTAAAAGGATGTAAAAATACTATAATTGCATTTTACTTCACTTCTGCTCTTGAAAGCACTTTATACATAGGCAGTTACACAGGTTTCATTAAACAATTGGTAATATCTTTCTTGTTAAACTGTTACATGCTGTGAATTTTCCTCTCATGCTAAAAATAACCAAAACAAAACAAACTCACACTAAGACAACAAAACTGCCTCACATTTTAAAGTGAAAATACTGCTGTCAAATATTCCATTCATTTTTCTTATAAGCTAGAAAACACAACAATTAATGTAGTTACATTTACAGATACAGAATGTTTTTAACAACTGTGAATACAATTGTATCATGCTAAAAAGCATCACACAACATAAGGAATTACTTATATTTTTTTCTGATGATTATACTTCCTTGTACTTTTCTGAAACATTAATCACTATATCCTTATATCTTATTACATAAGATATGAATTAAATGCTCAGGTGACAAGATTCTTAGAATATGTCACACTAATTGAATAAATAAAGACAGACAAAGTAAATAAGACAGTACAGAAGGTGGAAAAGACAATCAGTTTTCAAGTTAAACGCACTTTCACAACATGGAAAAATTGAAAAAGCAATACTTGACTTGAAACAAGTTGTCATATGAAAAACCAACCGTCAGAGAAACTAATGACCTGAACAGTCAAAACAGAAGACTGGACTTCATCTGTGCAGCAAGTGAAAATGCACATACACAGTAGGGTGTTATCACACTTTCACACTGCTCCGTCATACAACCCAACACACCAAACCTAATCTGTATACAAGCATGTAATACACAACACATACTACATATTTGCAAAGTGCTTTACAAAGGTAACAACTGAGGGCCAGTCACTGCTGAGTAAGAAAAACTACTTCACATATCTAGTATCTCATATATCCATTACTTTTGCTTATACATTCTAATCAGTGCCTATTTTTCACAGTAGTATCACATTAATGATCCCAGGTCCTTTTCTGCAGAACTGCTACCCAGCAAGTTCTAACCTGTGCTTGGTTTGTGAATCTGACTGTTCTGCAGCTAATGAGACTTTGTTCTTATATTCCTTGAATTACCTTATTAAAAAAAGGGAAAGAAAGCAAAAAGACAATTGTTTCATTGTTTCAATTTTTCAAGATCACACTGAATTCTAATTCTAGTTCTAAAATGTTTGCAGTCTCCTCTAAGCCTGCTTTATAGCATCTACAAATTTAATAAGTTCACTGTTTAATGAAAACATTGAAAGGTACATGAACAGCATTACAATGTCTAGACTGGGGGCAGTGTCTAAGCAGGCAGCATCTCAAAGATTTCTTCCAGACCAACCCCTGCTTTGGTCAGCAGCTTGTTAATGCAATTCTTCTGTAAAAGTCCCAAGTCACAGAACACTAAGAGGTAACAGTTTTCTAACTAAGGAGGGTTTGACTTTAGTTTTAGCCTTAAAATTCCATTAAATTCTCTATTCTCCTGATATTACTTTACCTGCTCAGTTACACAAAAGCATACACAACTGTGAAACAGTAAAATATATTTCTTGTGTGCTGCTTCTCACATTTATGGTAAATATTTATACATATATGTATTTTAATATAAAAAGTACTAAACAAGTCCTAA